CGCCCTCCCCTGCACCGACCCGTGCAGTGCCGCCCTCACCTGCGCAGACCAGCGCAACGCCACCCTTCCCTGCACCGCCCCCCGCAGCGTCGCCCTCCCCTGTGCCGCCCCGTGCAGCGCCGCCCTCCCCTGCACCGCCCCGCGAAGTGCCACCCTCCCCAGCGCAGCACAGCAATCACCACCAGTCCAGCGTGCGAATCTGATCAATCAACTTTGACCTCAACTCTATTCGGGGCCCTGCGACGGGGACGGCAAAGCAGCCGCCTCGCCGCCATGGGCGTCCTCAGGCGCCGGCGGTGGCAGCTGCGCAGTAGCGGAGTCGCCCCCCTCCTGCAGGCCGCGTCACACGGAGTGATGCACAGGAGGCACGACGGGTTCACCAGGTTGGTCGACAGGCAGTCATGGCAGCGGGAAGCAGACTTTCACCGAAGCCTGGGCGCACCAGGGCACCGAACGCAGCAAGCAAGTGCACCCGAGGACACCCCCCCTGCGTGCCATCCCCAGCCGATGCACACCACCCTGTCGTGCTGCTGCCGTGGTGTGTCATGCGGTGCACCCGTTGCATGCTGTGTGGTACACCCTCCCTCATACGGACCGACCCCCGCCCCTCAGGCTCCCCCACCTGCCGTCCTACTGTGTGCCATGGGCCGGGCATGGCTGCTGGTCCTGCAGCCGACGGGGACGGCAAAACAGCCGCCTCGCCACCACAGGCGTCCTCAGGCGCCGGCGGTGGCAGCTGCACAGTAGCGGAGTCGCCCCCCTCCTGCAGGCCGCGTCACACGGAGTGATGCACAGGAGGCACGACGGGTTTGCCAGGTTGGTCGACAGGCAGTCATGGCAGCGGGAAGCAGACTTTCACCGAAGCCTGGGCGCACCAGGGCACCGAACGCAGCAAGCAAGTGCACCCGAGGACACCCCCCCTGCGTGCCATCCCCAGCCGACGCACGCCACCCCATCGTGCTGCTCCCGTGGTGTGTCACGCGGTGCACCCATTGCATGCTGTGTATTCGTTTGTCTGTAAAGCCAAACCTTCACGGATGTACCTCTCGAGGCTCTCTTCTTAGTGCCACTACCAAGCATTCCGACAAGCGACCTATTCACCTCAGTGCCTTCAACTACAGCCGAGAATCTCATAGACACTATATCGTCTGGCTTAGTGCGACGTGGCACTGTAGCAACCCACTCAACGCCATCGACAATAACTATGAACGTTTCTCCGGCGCGGCACTGTGCAAGTTCACACGCGAAGTTAAACATTTCACGTTTAAGATGTTGGCCTATTTGTCTCTTCTGTAAGTACAGGTCGGTGTATCTGCATAAAGGTAACAGATGGTGCCATTTTCACAGCAATCACGCTAAACGCAGTGACGTTTCTTATTGGTGCTGCAAATTATCCACGTTCACATGACTTCTGGGCAGCAAGAGGGGAAATGCCGTACAATTCCGGACCTGTTAGGTCCGGAAGTGTACAGCATGGTGTTAAGTTCACATGGCTTCAAATTTAAAATTGGGAAGTTGTTTCGTGGCTACCAAACTTAGTTGATTGCATCTTTAAATTGATGGCCAGAACCTGCCATAGAATAGGATGCTCTTTTGTCATGGCGGGACGAAATGCTTGCTTGTGTAGAAGCATTAGAAGCTCGACGATTAATACAAACGTGAAGGTTCTGGAATTCATACACATTGTGATCGTTCTTACTGGTCACATTAGCCAGTTTGCCATGTCGTTGAATGCGCTGGAGGCGGCATCCAAACCACCGAAGATCATTTACAGACCGGATGTAGCTCCGCACTCCTCCCAGCCTTTTCAATGCACCAACTGTGCCAACTGATTTGGTAGTCGGTCAACGGCATATCGGCACCAGTGCAAAGACAGGGGGTGGAGTATGGAGATACCCCTTGTAAAAGTACATGATGTAACCATACAGCCCGCCATTGATCAGGGGCCTGAAAATGTGCCTGAATGCAATGCAAGACCAGCCGAACCAGCTATGAACAAGACGGATGGAAGACATCTTGTGCAACTGCAAGCAGGGCACCATCGATTCCCTAGTGCTCCCTTTGTGGGAACAGTGCAGCACACAGGACTGCCTGCACATGTTCCAGGCATCTCAGTGGGCCGGAGGCCTTTCCGCCAACCACTTCCGCCAGCAAGGCGACCTGCACCCGGCGCAGTGGCGGCGGAAATTAGCAACGGAGTAGCAGTGGCAGCGACGGTGGTGGGGCTGGGAGGTGCATTAGTCTGAACAACAGGCGCGGCGGCGGCGGGAAATAGCAACGGAGTAGCAGCGGCAGCGACGGCGGTGGGGCTGGGAGATGCATTAGTCTCAACAGCAGGCGCGGCGGCGGCGGGAAATAGCAACAGCAGCAGCAGCGGCAGCGACGGCGGGAATTAGCAACGGAGTAGCAGCGGCAGCGACGGCGGTGGGGCTTGGAAATGCATTTGTCTGAACAACAGGCGCGGCGGCGGCGGGAAATAGCAACAGTAGCAGGCGCGGCGGCGGCGGGAATTAGCAACGGAGTACCAGCGGCAGCGACGAAGGTGGGGCTGGGAGATGCATTAGTCTGAACAACAGGCGCGGCGGCGGCGGGAGTAGCAACAGCAGCAGGCGCGGCGGCGGCGGGAATAAGCAACACAGCAGCAGCGGCAGCGACGGCGGTGGGGCTGGGAGATGCATTTGTCTGAACAACAGGCGCGGCGGCGGCAGGAATTAGCAACGGAGTACCAGCGGCAGCGACGAAGGTGGGGCTGGGAGATGCATTAGTCTGAACAACAGGCGCGGCGGCGGCGGGAGTAGCAACAGCAGCAGCGCGGCGGCGGCGGGAAATAGCAACGGAGTAGCAGCGGCAGCGACGGCGGTGGGGCTGGGAAATGCATTAGTCTGAACAGCAGGCGCGGCGGCGGCGGGAATCAGCAACGGAGTACCAGGGCAGCGACGGCGGCGGGGTTGGGAGATGCATTAGTCTGAACAACAGGCGCGGTGGCGGCGGGAGTAGCAACAGCAGCAGGCGCGGTGGCGGCGGGAATTAGCAACAGTAGCAGGCGCGGCGGCGGCGGGAATTAGCAACGCAGCAGCAGCGGCAGCGACGAAGGTGGGGCTGGGAGGTGCATTAGTCTGAACAACAGGCGCGGAGGCGGCGGGAATTAGCAACGGAGTAGCAGCGGCAGCGACGGTGAAGGGGCTGGGAGGTGCATTAGTCTTAACAACAGGCGCGGCGGCGGCGGGAAATAGCAACGGAGTAGCAGCAGCAGCGACGGTGAAGGGGCTGGGAGGTGCATTAGGGAGGGCATTTATTATACAAAAATGGGCCACATCCAATGGGCCATCCAATCGTTTCTCTCTTCACTCTCTTCCAAGTGGTGTAGCCACAGAGAAAATACAAACACTATTTTGGTATTGCTGTGGCGGCCAGTTCAACTCTGGCATGGAAGTCATTTTTATTACTCTGACTATATACCTACTACTATTATACTATAGGGTAGTACCAGTACTACTATATACATACTACTAGTAGTAGTAGTAGCAGCACATACAATAAATCGCAAGTGTGATCCAGGGATGCCATTTCGTGAAACAAAATTTTCAAAATTCTCGCCAGTCCAGAAATGCAAGTCCAGCAGGCGCGGCGGCGTCGGAATTTAGCAACGGAGTAGCAGCGGCAGCGACGGCGGTGGGGCTGGGAGATGCATTAGTCTGAACAACAGGCGCGGCGGCGGCGGGAGTAGCAACAGCAGCAGGCGCGGCGGCGGCGGAAATTAGCAACGCAGCAGCAGCGGCAGCGACGGCGGTGGGGCTGGGAGGTGCATTAGTCTGAACAACAGGCGCGGAGGCGGCGGGAAATAGCAACGGAGTAGCAGCGGCAGCGACGGCGGTGGGGCTGGGAGGTGCATTAGCCTAAACGGCAGGCGCGGCGGCGGCGGGAAATAGCAACACAGCAGCAGCGGCAGCGACGGCGGTGGGGCTGGGAGGTGCAGTAGCCTAAACGGCAGGCGCGGCGGCGGCGGGAATTAGCAACACAGCAGCAGCGGCAGCGACGGCGGGAATTAGCAACGGAGTAGCAGCGGCAGCGACGGCGGTGGGGCTTGGAAATGCATTTGTCTGAACAACAGGCGCGGCGGCGGCGGGAAATAGCAACAGTAGCAGGCGCGGCGGCGGCGGGAATTAGCAACGGAGTACCAGCGGCAGCGACGAAGGTGGGGCTGGGAGATGCATTAGTCTGAACAACAGGCGCGGCGGCGGCGGGAGTAGCAACAGCAGCAGGCGCGGCGGCGGCGGGAATAAGCAACACAGCAGCAGCGGCAGCGACGGCGGTGGGGCTGGGAGATGCATTAGTCTCAACAGCAGGCGCGGCGGCGGCGGGAAATAGCAACAGTAGCAGGTGCGGCGGCGGCGGGAATTAGTAACGGAGTAGCAGCGGCAGCGACGGCGGTGGGGCTGGGAGGTGCAGTAGCCTAAACGGCAGGCGCGGCGGCGGCGGGAATTAGCAACACAGCAGCAGCGGCAGCGACGGCGGGAATTAGCAACGGAGTAGCAGCGGCAGCGACGGCGGTGGGGCTGGAGATGCATTTGTCTGAACAACAGGCGCGGCGGCGGCGGGAAATAGCAACGGAGTAGCAGCGGCAGCGACGGCGGTGGGGCTGGGAGATGCATTAGTCTGAACAACAGGCGCGGCGGCGGCGGGAAGTAGCAACAGCAGCAGGCGCGGCGGCGGCGGGAATTAGCAACGCAGCAGCAGCGGCAGCGACGGCGGTGGGGCTGGGAGGTGCATTAGTCTGAACAGCAGGCGCGGCGGCGGCGGGAAATAG